GCTGCAGTGGCTGTGAGCGTGCCACTGCCCTCCAGCCTGGGTGACAGAGTGAGACTCCAACTCAAAAAAAAAAAAAAGTACTAGAAACAGCAGTGGGGTCAAGGGCTGGGTTAACTGGGGCAGGCATGGAGCCAGGATTGGTGGCTTGGCCTGGGTCTTAGGCTATGGCAAACTCTTAGAGTTGGGGGCTTCCGCAGGGGAAAGCCCTTTAGAGATGGTCACTGGGGGAGAGGCCCAGAAGGTCACTGCCCTGGAGATGAATGGGAGGATGAGGCCGGTCTGCGTCCCTGCCACGGCCGCCTTCCTCCTCTCCCCGCACTGGCCACCTGGGTGTGGAGAACCCGGGAGCATGTGGGCCGATGGAGGGGCTCCAGACACGCCTACCTGACCTACTGCCCTTTCCAAATTGATTTTTATGAGGCTCTCTCTGTTCCCCATCGCTTGCAGCTGAAGCAATTTCCTTCTGGAATCTTCCTGAAGCTTCTCTTCGACCTGAAATGATGATGAAAGCGTGCGCTTGCCGCTAATGCGATCATAACGCGCTCTGGGGGATTCCTTTAGGAGGTCTAATGGCCTTGGGGGGTTCCAGAGGGGTAGGGACAGCTGCAGCCCACGTGGCAGGGGTAGCAGGCGAGTGTGGGTAGAGGCAGGCTGGGGGAAGGGCCAGGCTCTGCGCCCCGGGCTGCCCTAGCCTCCAATCCCAGCTCAGCCCCCAAACAAGCTGTAGGACCTCAGGAAAGTCACCTCACTGCTCCGTGACTCAGTGTCCTCGTCTGTCAAATGGGATTGATGATATCAGTACCCTCTTTGCAGAGCGAATGTGGGGATTTAAAAAGTGTGGAATAGTGCCAGCACTTGGCCAGGGCTCGCTAGGTGTGTCAGATGTTGCTGGAACAGTCACCCTACACATTCTAATACCACGAGGAACATGGTAAGTTTTACTGTCGGGTTTATTACCGTCACTGTTTGTCGTGACCACTTTCAGCACTTACCAAGGGAGACCACAGCAATGACTGTTAAAGAATGGCAGCCGGCAAAACAGGCATGGAAGTGGGGGACATGGGCCCATCTATTCCCCTTCGTGAGCTTAGGCGTGTTTGATGCTGCCCTCTGCTGGTCAGTGTAAGACCCTGCGGCTGCCCAATTCATTTTTGAACAATAAATATTTTTTGAGCACCAGTGGACGCGGGGCTCAGGCACTAACAGGACGCGAGGCAAATTCTCCTAAATGAGAAAATTCATGCTGAACCAACTCCACAAGCTATTTATGAGGAGGCTGCAGAGGGGCCACACATATTTATTTTAAAACCCCCACAACAGGTCGGGCACGGTGGCTCATGCTTGTAATCCCAGCACTTTGGGAGGCCAAGCCAGGAGGATGGCTTGAGTCCAGAAGTTTGAAACTGGCTTGCGCAATATAGTGAGACCCAGTCTCTATTAATACAAAATAAAAATAGTTTAAAAAAGAAAAAGAAACCCCAGAACAGCCCCTCAGCTTTCTTCTGAGTCAGTGGCCTGCTGTTTCTTCCTGTCTCCTGACAAGCCCAGCTGTCCTCGTGGGCCTCAGCCCCTCACTGCACGTCCTTCTAGGCCTAAACGTGCCCTGACCTCTATGTCGGTCGATGTTTCAGATGCTGCAAAAGCAGAGGCCGTTCCTGCACTCTGCTCTGCTCTGTGCTCGTCATCTCAACGAGTGGCCTCCGGGTCCCCAAGCCCAAGCCCACCGGGTCCATTCCTCAGGTCCTGCCCACAGAGCAGGCCCTTGGCACCAATATCAGAGATGCACTGAAAAAGCACAGAGATGCACCTGGGAAAAGCCTCAGGCCAGGCCCAGGGAACCTCTGGCCATGATGACAGGACTCCTTGCCTCCTTCTTATCCAATCCTTTGTGGTCCTGGGGGATTTTCCAGGCTGTGGGGTAGCACCAGCTGGTAAAACTTTCTGCAGTGCCAAAACGCCCATGTCTGTGCTAACAGGGTGGCCACTGGCTACACCTGGATGTTGAACACTTGAAATGTGGCTCGTGTGACTGAGGAACTGAATTTTAAATTTTCTTTAATTTCACCTGAATTTAATTCACCTAAATTTAATTTCACCTAAATTTCACCATGTGGCTGGTGGCTACGTCATAGCAACTGGAGTCAGACAAACCCAGCTTCCAGACTGGCTTTGCCATTTCCTGCCTGTGTGGCTTTGGGCTAGTTACCTTGCTCTGAGCCTTGATCCCCTCATCTGTGAAGTGGGCATACTCATTTCTAGGACAAAGAGTTGTTTCAAAAATGAAAAGAGATGAAATGCTTGGCATAATACCTAGGACATTTTCACCATTATTATTAACCACACATTTAATCATATCAGTTCCCTGTTCAAAAGCCTAAGCTCCCACTGCCCAAGTAGTATATAGCCCGATTTAAGAAGTCCTGTGAACTCCAAAACAAGATAAATACAAATAAATCCACACCTAGACAAATCATAATAGAATTGCTATAAGTCAAAGGAAAAAAAAATTTTAAAACATCCTGAGTGGGGGGGGG